GTGAGGGGAGGTGCCGTGGCGGCGATGTGCGCCTTCACGGCGGTATATGTGGGCTGGGGAGCTCTGCACCAAGGCAGCAGGGAGTGGGAGAAAAGACAAACCTCTCCTGGTTAATGCTCTGTGATTGAAGTGTGAGAGCGGTGAGGACGTGTCTGCCAAGCTGAACAAATTGCTGCAGAGCGGGGATTGAGACTCTTCATCCCACTGCAGCTCAACAGTTCAAACAGCAGTTTGATTTCCTGTGTGTGAGCCCTGACAAAAGTCAGGCTGGTCTGCACATAGAGCTGCACCTGTTCTTCTTTCAAACAGGAAGATGTTTGGTAAAATCAGGAGGGCACGAAATGGGTGTTGTTCCTGTGCTGTCCTTGGGTTATCCCTGTTCCAGAACACGGCTGTGTGCGCCTTCCTGCTGGCGGTGTCTGTCTTCAATGTCCCAGTGGGAAGATGAACTAAAGACACAGGTGTGCCCAGGGCAGGTGACACCGAGCTCTCCCCAGGGGATAACAAGAGTGCCTTGGAGCTGTCCCCAAGGGAAAATGCCACCCAAGGGACAAAGCAGAGTGACCAGGAGGCATGCCAGGGCCAAGACTACCACAAGAAAGAGCTGTCCCAAGGGGATACAGCAGCAACAAGAAGCTTTCCCAAGAACAAGGCAAATATGACAAAGAGCTGTCTTTGGGGAACACTAATGTCCTAGACATGTCCCCATGGGAAGCAGATGAGGAGGGAGAGCTGTGCCAAGGTGCACAGGAGAGTTCAGTGAACTGTCCCAAAGGGAGGGACAGCTGCCAGTCAGGAGGAACCAGCTCCCTGGATTCATCCGTGCTAGGGGATGATGGAAATTGTTGAGAAGATGGACAAGGAGAAGGGGGACCCCAATTCTCCTTTCTGTCTTTCTTTTCCACACCAAAGGAGACTCCTGCAATGGGAGAAGGAATTGTCCCTCTGGTGTGGGGCTGTTCTGGTGTCCCTGCCTGGTGGCACAGCCAGAGGAGCAGTGCCCACACCAGTGCCAGGCTGGGCCTGAGAGCATCTGGGCAGGACAAACTCCCAGTTATGGTTCCAGGAGATCAGCAAAACCCAGCACAGCAAGCACAGGACTCGGGAAAAGAATGACCATGGACCAGGGGGGATCAAGAGCACCAAAGACCCCCAAAGCCACCAACCCTTTTCCAGAAGGGTCTGGAAGAACAGACTGTGCAAGACACCCAGTTTGCACAGAGGGGAGAAACCCATTTCAGGGTGGGGAACCCAGTCCATAAAAGGGTACCCCCACCAAGCCCATGACCCTGGGCATCCCAACAGCTGGATCACTGCTGGAACCAGGAGTGACATCCCAACAGCTGGACCTACATTGGAACCAGGAGTGAGATCACCAGGAGTGATGTCCCCTCATCTGGAACCATTCTGGATCCAGGAGTGATGATCTCTTTTCCTCACTTTTCCCTTGTCTTTCTTTCTCTCTGCCCCTTTTTAATTCATCTTTTCCTTTCTCTCTGCCCTTTCACCCTTTCCCTTTATCCCAAACTCAGTGCCATGTGTCTTTATTGCAGGTCAGGGACTAATGTAGCAGTTGTGTAGCAATAAGTCAAATTAACAAAATAATGTCTGTAAATAGAATTGTTTAACCAGGGGTGACTGAGAATGAGACATTCCCAGCAACTGAAGTCAGGTAAAATTGCATTATGGCAAACAGTGCTGCTTGATGCCTTAAAAACCAAAAGAAGCCATCTTCACAGTACAGATATTTTACTGAGGAATAGTTAAATGTGCTGTAAATGAACAATACAAATTCATTGCATTTTCTTGAAAGAAAGAATAGCTTTTTCTCTTATTGCCAGCTAAGTTTTTATAATGCCTTCATAGTTTTTAAGATCACACAAATTCTACAGACAGTAGAATTTTTCTCTGTTTTTCTTCAAGGTGCTTGCAGAGCACTGTCAGATCCCAGACTGGTCCCTAAATCCGGGGACAGTGGCACTTTGGCAGCTTTACAGGCAGCCAAGCATTGACCCACGGTCACAGCAGAGCCTTTGACAACTCAATCGAGTAATCAGGGCCGTTTAACAGACTTTCACTGCAGTCCTTTATTTTTAATGAGATCCTAAATATATCCTCCTACATACAGAAAAATAATTTCCTGAGGACACTCCTTCTTTTCAAATATTTCAAGGAACAAACAAAACCAGGTGCCTTTAAATGCTTTTCTGTGAGATTTACTCGGTATTTGACAATGACAACAGAGCTGTTTTTATACTCTATGTACAATAATCACAAATATATCCATAAGCATGTCCTGAACTCTGGGTACAGCAGTGTGCATGGAGGACAGGAGTGGAGAGGCTGAACAAAGCAACACAGAGCAAACCCTCCAAGCAATTTCTGCTGACTGCCAGCTTCTCCCTGCTTCGAGGGCTTTGAATGAACTGAGAATGAATGAACTGTGACAAGCAGAGCAGTGTGGAACCAGGAGTCAGAGTCTGCACTTGTCACATCTCACTTTGGAGAATGTATGAAAGAAAAAACTCCATTACCCACAATGTTTCCCACCCCAATCCTCCTCACACGGAACAAGAAGTAACTGAACTTTTTTTGAAGGGTAAAAAAATGGTAAAATGAGCATTGAAAAAGTTCACTCACGTTGAGAAAATACTGAATAATTAAGTGCTTCTAGAAAAAATCTGCTGTAATTTCTCAGCTGTTTGGCTCAGGGTCAGCTCAGAGCCAGGCTCTGTCTCCCAGGTGCCCAAATCCCTTCCCCAGCTCTGAGCAGCCTCTCCTGGCTCTGCCCTGGGCAGACTCTCAGCATCTCTGAGCCAAGGCCAGCCTGGGGCAGTTTTTATTCTACAGCACTTCCAAAGGTGTGGCATGGGAGGGGCTGCCCAGGGAGCTTTGGAGTGCCCATCCCTGCAGGTGGCACCTGGAGGTGGCACTCAGGGTGCCAAGGTGGCCATGGGGCACAGCTGGGACTGCAGGGGCTGGGAGGGCTTTGCCAGCCTCGGGGATTTGGGGATTCTGTGGCTGCCAGTTCTGTCTGGGAAGCTGACAGTGCCGATGTGCCAGCGAGCTCCAAGGGCAGGGACACTGCCACCA